AGGTTTAAAAAAGAGCTAAAACGCTATGGCCTCTAAAGTGTAGTAATAATATTCTGGTAATAAAAGAGTGATCGAGGATAGTAGACTCATGCCTTTGTGTGCTATTGTGTATCCTTAGAGTATGTTTGTGTTTCTGATTGCTTTTTAGAAGGTTAAAAACACTTTATGACTGCATTTGACATTTTAGTAAGAAGTGATTATTGGTAGTATAAGTATTTTTTTTGGAGAATTACATGCCATATACTAAGAAACACTTCCATGCGAATTTTTAATAAAAATTTCAATGTGATATAATGAAACGCTTTTATCAAAACACTTATGAACATATAAATATTTCTTACATAATGAGTTCCAAACAAGCGCTCAATCTTAAAACTTAAAGAATTCATCAAGACTTTCAGTTTGTACATGCTTACATGTAGTTATTTGGTCTAGTCGAATGAGATATCGTCAGTAGCTAGACTACTTGATCCATGACTCTTTCATATATTCATGCCTCTATTATTTGATCCAAAGTTGAAAGGGAGCTTGAAAAGTTAAGCAAATTTTATTTTTATTTTTTTACAGGATTAACTTTTAAATTCACAAAAACTCAGTCCAATGTCAGCAATGACCATATACATAGAAATCCCCTTGAATAATTCAGTTAAAAAGCTCCAAAAGCCTCAAACCATGTGAAGTTCTAAACGTCATCAATTAACCCATTTTACCAAAACTAGTTGAGTATCTAAGAGTTTAATTACTTAAATCAACACCCAACCTATAAGAAAATATGATTAATCAAGATTCTAAACGTCATCTTATAGAATCCATATACTCACAATACTGTATTACCACGTAACATGTCAATGTATAATAACTATCATCACGACTTAACAAGTATTATAATTTGAATAGATTAAGAGCTAATTTGGAGTAGGGGTGGGAAATTTTGCCATAAACCGATTTACCGACCGAACCATACCAGTCGGCTCATAATGTTATGATATAGTTTTGGCATTTTTTTTTATAATCGGTTGGCATTTTACCGAACCGACAATTAATGACATGGCTTTGGTAATTGATTTTGTATGCCGGCGGTATGCCATACCTACCAATATATATATATATATATATATATATATATATTATTTGTCTATTTACATATTTTAGGTATTTTTTACATGCTTGACTCCTCAGTTTTAGGGTTTAGAAAATAAATGACTCCTTAGTTTTAGGGTTTAAAAAATATATGTAGATGTATATGATTCATGCCATAATAAATATAGAAAATATTGTTAACAAAATTGATAGCATGATGGTTACTGATACTATATATACACGTACATATATATGATTTTGAATGTATATGCATTGCTTATGTTTAGGATGATAGAGTCTAGCCAATCAACCGCTAGTGCACAACATGGATTAACCCAAAATGAACCACACAATGCAACCAAACAAGCACCCCAATTTGGAAATCAAATTGAGCCCTTGGAACTAGAAGATAGCGAGGAAAAAGTGGAAACCACCAGTTGTGCCATTTACCAACCGAACCAACCAATAATTTTGGCTGAACCAATTGTTGGCAACCGCAAGAAGATGATTGGCTAGCGGTAACTGATTTTCGGTAATTATGTACATGTGGGTGTTAGGTGGCACAAGGAATTTGGCACGGTTTGCCAACCGAACCCAGCCCTAATTTGGAGTTGTATAAATTTTTTTAAAAGCAGCTTCTTAAAAAAGTTGGAGTAAAAATTGTGTTTGGTAAAAGAAAAAAAAAAGTGTTTTTTTTCAAAATCATGGGCCTAAAATAGAAGCAACTCTAACTATATTTCTCTAAAAAGTGTTTATCTCATAAGAGGCAGGTGAATGGTAACTTTTAATGAAACTTTCATATTGACAATACTACCTTTATTATTATTTTTTTTTTGCTAAAAGCATTTTTAGCACTATAGTTTACCAAATACTTAATTGTTTTTATTTCACAGTATTCTTACAACGCAACAGGAGCAGTTTAAAAAAAAAAACACTGCCACCTCAAACTAGCCATAAGAGCAACTCCACCCCATTAGGGTGGGCTGGCACAAAGCCTCAAAAATAGGCTGGCTTCCCTAAAAAACCCTCTAGCTGATCCAAATAGGTTGGCACCCAGCCCAAGCCAGCTTGTAGGCCGGCCCAAAATGTGTTGAGCAATGTCCCGACCTATGTGACGTCACGTTGGCGTCAGCATGACATCACAAGGCACTACCAATTTTTTTTTGCGTTAGGCGCGTGGGAAACATAAGCGCATGGGCTCACGTTCCCAATAGAAAAAAGGCGGCGGGGCCTGCTGTTGCAGGCATATTAAAGTAGAGCTGGAGAAGCCACGTGGCTTGTTCTAAGCTGTTGGATTTCCAACGGCTAGTTTTTTTTTTTAAAAATGAAATTCAAACCCAATGACTAATGACGTGGCGTGTTCTGGGCCGTCCGATCCCAAGATCAACGGTCCACGATTTTCATCCCAAAAAACGAAAAAAAACAGTCAGAATTATGACAGTTGGCCACGTGTCCAAATCTGGGCTGTTGGATTTGAATCTTTTTCATATCCAACGGTCCATATTAATTAACTTAATAAAAATTAATAAAAATGGTTTAAAAATACAGAAAAAAAAAAAGATTATTATTTTCTATAAATACCTAACCATCATCTTTCACCTTACACCACATTTCAATATTTTCAACACTTTCAACCAAAGCTTTCATATATTGTTACGTGAAAAAAATTGCTACGTGGAAACTTATCGAAATATTGGCTAAATTATTTTAAACAGATAGTGACATGTGGCGCGTCGGGATTGTTGAAAATCTTATCGAAAATCTATCCACAAAATAGTACTTTCGGATAATGACACGTGGCGTGACAAGATTGGTTAAAAATTCTATCAGAAATTAAAACTAATTTTTTTATTATTTTGCAAAAAAAAAATAATATTATTTTAATGGGCTGGGTGCCAGCGTATTTTTTAGAGATGAAGATGCATTTGTGCCAGGTCATTTTTTAGACTTTGTGCCATTGCATTTTTTAGGAGTGGAGATTCATTTGACCAATTATTATTCATTGAGATCAATCACTATTCATTTGAATGGATTAAATGGGTTGAGTAACAACGCATTTTTAGGGGTGGACTTGCTCTAATAAAGCAACGTCGAAGACCTAGCAAGGCAACCAAGTCAGCAATGAGTAATCAGAGAACGCGAGCGAGCCCTTCTGGTTCAATTTTTATTATTATTATATATATATATATATATTTTTTTTTTTTTTTTTTTTTTTTTTTTTTTTTTTCTGGTGGTGGGATTTTACAAGGGCACCATGATACAAAGGACGTGGCGCGCGGCCTCTCATTCCCATGGGCACCATGATACAAAGATGCCACCTTCTTGTCTCTCACTCATGGCAGTAAGCATATTCCTCAGAATGTACCATTTTCATGCCCTCTTTTTTTATTTTTTTCAATAAGATATTAAAATATTCAAAGTGGCAAAACCCTTTTGATTCTTCTGGGTTTGTGAGGCGGAGGTTGATGCTTCAATTGGATCATCATTTGGAATATTAAACAAGTCATTAGAATCATTATGATTGGAGGTTTATGGTATAATTATGCAAGGAAATGCCCAATTTGGGGTGATCAGTAAAACTAATCATATAGTTAAAGACGTTATGAGGAATTGTGTTTCGTTGCATTTCATATATATTGTCCTAAATTAAGAAAATAACCAATCTACATCAACAAAAACAATTTCTTTCGTGCACGTAAATCAATAAGCAAAGTTGAGTACTCGACATATAAGATTATTCAAATCACATTTGTTGATTGTATTGTTGAGATATCACATATCAAGTAAGCAAACTTTTATAAATAAGAGGCTGAATTATTTTCTCGTAGTTTGTTTTATTATATCTGTTCACACTTAGAATAAAAAAGAAATACAAATTTTATACCAAATTACAAACTCAGTAAAATAAATTTCAGCGGCCGATTCTTCTTTGATGTGCCATAGGTAAATCATGTGATCACATCAATAATTGACTATCTACTCAATAATTAAGATGTTCATAACAAAAGGAAGAAAATAATTGCATTTATTTGGAAAAAGAGGAAATTAAGGTTGTTACGCGCCCTTTCCATGAGTGGCGCCCAAATACGATGTCACACTCCGAATTTAAGATCGGTCAAGAAATTAACTCAGCGTACAGTGCACGAACAAAAAATAAAATAAAAACAAGAATGATAGAAATACCAAGTTAAAAAATGAACTTTACGTTTGTAAAGATAACTCTCGAAATCTTGCAAGTGTACAAAAAAATAATAAATCAGAATATTTGTACTCAGTGCTCTCTATCTATTTATCATTGTTAGATAAATTTAAATGGCTAAATCTATGTTTTATTTTGATATTTTGATCATAGATAGACATAAACGTAAAAATTTAAATATAAAATTAATAATAAATAAGGTGATCAGCATTACTACTATTTAAAAATTAAGAATTTTAATGAAAAATTTCTGGTATTTTTTATTTTAACGAAAAATCACATTTTTACATTAAAAATCAATTTTAATACTATTTATTTTACATTTTACTTTAAAATTAACGAGAAAAAGTACACCTGTTTCTTGCTCGTCTACGCCACCTGACTTTCTCTCTTCCGTCCTTTTCTGATCCATTTTTCGGATCAGGATCCTCTCCTGAGCAGATGGAGGGGATCCTCCTGACCAGGCCCATTGGGCCGTTCATTTTTTATCCAACGGTTATAATTATTATAACTTTTAGAGGAACTCCCTGTTTGTAACCGTTGGATAAAAAATGAACGGCCCGATGGGCCTGGTCAGGAGGATCCTCTCCATCTGCTCAGGAGAGGATCCTGGTCCCCATTTTTCAACTGTCTGTCTGTCAAAAAAAAATTTTAAAAAAAAAAAAAAGGCAAGAGGCTACAAGGAATATCCGAAACGATCCCCAAAAGCCCCGACTTTCGCCCTTTATAAAAACGACGCCTCTCTCTCTCTCCTCGTCAGTCGTCTACTCTTTTGATAAGCTGACATGAAACTGGAGCTCAATAATCTTCATCATCCGGAGGATCAAGAGACCGACAGCGAGAGCGAGATGTGCAGGACAATCGAAGTTGTCGCGGGAAGTGGAGGCGTCCAGCTCTCTCCGGATAAGCAGACCTCCGGCGCCGACGACTGCGCCGACGACCTCTTCATTCCGCCGCTCAACTTCTCCTTGGTCGATAACGGCATTTTCAGGTCGGGCTTCCCGGAGCCCGCCAACTTCTCCTTTCTCCACACTCTAGGCCTCCGCTCCATCATGTAAGCAAATTCGTTTACTGCTCATGTACATGTGTGTGCATATATATGCGTGTGTAAGTGTTTGATTAATTTCATTTCCGGGAAAATAAAAAAAAGATAAGTATGATTAATTTAAAGTGTTATATATTTATTTTTTATTTAATAATTGTCGTCTATGAAATTTGAACTCATAACATACTCTAATAAAGCGGAGTCTGTCGCCGTTACACCAAATTTTCATGTGCAATTGTTCTAAATTTTTGGATTTGAATTATGTAATCCTAATGTGATTATGTACACATGTATGTAGATGTTTGTGTCCGGAGCCGTATCCAGAGCCGAATACGGAGTTTTTAAAGTCCAACGGGATTAAGCTTTTTCAGTTTGGAATTGAAGGCTACAAGGTATGTGTATTGCTCAATTCGACTGGATCTCGTTAGGCATATGTTTAATTTTCTACTTAAATTGATCATCGTAAATGGACCGTCTTTAATCTAAACTATCGGGAGAAAGATTTGTACTCGGTGCCTATAGCAAGAGATAAGAAAAGTGATTGGACCGTTCATCAATGAAGTAGGGTTCGGAGACTCGTGAGTTGCCTGATTTTCGGGGTACATATACGTGTGTGTATATTTGCTGAATAAATCAATCAAGTAGTACATAATTACTTATATGGTGACAGACGAATGTATGGTCACTCACCCATAAATTTGATATAAAGGATGGAAAATAAATAAACGTATTCTTAAAGTTTTATCTCAACACTTGATATCGAATCCAACAATAGGTGACCATAAATCCTTGATCACCAAGTGACAAAGAGAATGAGGCTCATACAGTCGTACTTATATTCCTTATGTTTAACTAATACTCCATTATCCTCATCAAGATGCTTTGTTAGTTGAGTCATAATGGCCATTTGTTGTGGATGTCCTTCTTGTTGTTGTTCCTTTTGTCTGATAACTTCAATAATTATATATAAGAAATTTTAGCCAAAATAGTCTCTGAGATTGGTATAACTCCTCATATTCTGTTAAATAAAGACTAAAATGACAAAAATAGCTTCAATGTAATAAACAATGGGCCAAACTGATTTGACAAAAATTAGGGCTATTTTGTCAATTTTTTCTTTATTTAACGGAGATTTTTCACAAAATGACCAAAATGGTTGACAATGGACAAAGTCAGGACCAGTTATATCGATTTTGAATCTTAAGGACCAAGTGAGGAGTTATACAAATTTCAATGACTATTTTGGCTAAAAAAACTTATATATATATATTTTACATAATTTTGTTAATAACGATTTTTTATTTTATTTGTGTGGGGTATTGTTTGTTGGTTTTGGTTTTGGATGGGATGACAGTTATTGTTTTGGCATATATCTAACTAGAGGGCCACGAGTTTCTATCACATAGACTGAAACACTCTTTCATGGAATCCTACCTTATGTTTGTGGGATGTACATTAATCACATGAGTTTATTCTTTCCATTGTTTAATGGATGAATTATCTAAACTGATTAATGTTTTGCCCCTTTTTGGTATTGAAGGAAACATATGATGTGTATTTCGTCAAGAGAAATGATATCCGTACTCTCTCTTTTATCCCCTTGTCCTCCCTCTTGTTTTTAGCCATAGGATTGAATAATCAATGGGAAATCAACGGATAGAAACGAGTAGGGGAGTGAATGAGGAGAACATGGGAGGGTGAAAATCATTTCCTTTCGTTGATACCGTCTGTTGACACTGAACTGTTCTAATGAACTTCTGTATTGGAGATACTTACAGTTCTAATTGCAAGAAGCTTTGCAGAAACCATATCGGAACACTAGATTGATTTTTATCTCATCCCAATTGTTTTAAATTCAAGTATGCTTACTTTGAGTATCATTCTCTGAGGTGAAGTTTAAAATGCACTCTGGACAATTTTTTCAAATGGTTTCTAGTATCAGTGTTCTAATACATCTTTGGGAGTTTGTGTTTTTGCCAATGTAGTTGCAATAAATCATCGGGATGTATGAAAGTACTTCTCGCTCTAGGAGTTGGTACCATCTCACTCTAGGACAATGGTTGGATTGGCGTGCAGTAATTTTTATACACCAAGTTATGTGCTTAAGTTGAGAATCTTTGTTGAAATATATAAACATTTCTTCTCTCAATGTCATTTGGTCCGAGTGGCAGTCTTCGTTTTAATTTTCGTTACATGATGAAACGGATTTAAATCTTTAATTACTTCTTTGTTTGATTGTTGATAAAGTTCCTTATTAACATGAATTATTCAACAATATACGAACTGATCTTCAAAATTGAATTGTGCATTCAGGAGCCTTTTGTAAACATCCCGGATGATACAATCCGTGAAGCACTAAAAGTTGTCCTCGGTACGACACAGAATTGACAATATTTCACTTAATTTCTTACCGAACCAGAATTACAGCAATGTGGCTTACATTAGTTTACTTGTCTGCAATGCAGATGTAAGGAACCACCCTGTCTTAATTCATTGTAAACGAGGGAAGGTATGTACACTACTGGATTCTTATACGTTCACACCCTGATTTTGAGTAATCAATGGCATTATACGTTGTAGATGGTTGCTTACTTTGGTCGTATTTTTTCAGCATCGAACGGGTTGTCTGGTGGGGTGCTTGAGAAAATTGCAGAGATGGTGCCTCACGTCTGTTTTTGACGAATACCAGCGGTTTGCAGCTGCGAAAGCGAGAGTTGCGGATCAGAGGTTTATGGAGATGTTTGATGTTTCCAGTTTGAAACATCTGCCGATGACATTTTCATGTTCCAAGAGGTAAAGTCGCCCCGTATTATTGAACGGCTTTTGCTTCTTCTTTTAGTCGAAGAAGAGAATCAATCGTAGGTCCCAATCTCCTAGCTACTATGGAATAAATAAAATAGGGAAAGGTGATGAGTTCCTGGTATGCATTTCAGCGGAAAAGGAATTTTTTCTTCATTTTTCCTTAAATTCAAAATAATAAGCATCCTTATATAAAATATCACTTTCACTTTGTGTGCTTTGATACTCAACTTTTTCATGATCTTTTCTTCTGCCGTGTTTTTGGTATATTTATTCAACAATTTATGGCAGCAGATGCATCCGGATTTCTTCTCGAAAACTTGTAGTTAGCTCGATTTAGAGGTTTAAGTTGACATCGAATACGTCTTGCCAATGCAAATCAAGATTTCAGTTTTAATTTCTCCTCTCGAGCTGTTCCTTCGAATGATTAGAACTAAAATCTTTGATCAAAACAATGTCTGCGTATTCATGTTCTGTTATCCAGCAACTTACTTGATTGATCTTTAACTTTAAAGTTGTTATTAGTAAAAACGTTTGTATAAAATACAATGCATACATTAAGGCTCGTTTTAAAATGATTGAACGCACTTTTTATGGAAGTGTTTTTAGAATAAATCATTGGTAAAAATGCGAGGGAATACTGGAAAAGCACTTCAAGTGCTTTGGTAACTCAAAAACAATTTCATCAAAAATGGTTTCAGTCATTTTAAAACCGCACCCAAACGAGTTAGTTTATTAGTGGTATGTGCAAAGATGTATATAGTTCAAGCAGAATAGCAACATCGATGATCAAAATAATCAAGTCCTTCTAAAACAAATGACAAAGAAGATCGAGGAAGGAACAAGTCTTGATTTCAAGTTTCTTTTACTCAGAATGTAAAGTAAATAAAACATCTTAAGAAAGGGAAAAAGTTACAAACAAAATCTTCTCACACAGTTAAAATTACGAAGGTTCGCATCATTAGGTGAATTTGTGGGAGAAGAGTGACATCCACAAGCTTATGAATATTATACTCACATTAACAATATATCAATAAGGATCTCTGAGTCTCCCTCCACCTTCAAGTAAATGCAAACGAATCCCCTTGAAAGTGCTTTTAGATTGTCAACGAGGGCTTGTCCTTATGCAACAAAAGTGATTTTGTTAGTGAAATAAACAAAGTCGCTTTTTTAAAAGGAAAAAGAAAAAAAAGCGCTTTACTGTTGAAGGACTTTTGAAGGAAACTAAAAAAAAGTTCAAGTTGGCTGTTATTTTTTAAGGTTAAAGGTGTAAAAATCAAGTCTAATGACATAAAATTAGTACAAAACTTCTACTTTATATGAATGTTTGGTTCAATAAACTTCACTTTAGACTACACAATTATCAGAAAAGTGCCCTTTTTTATTGTTTTGCGGTGTTGATCTTTCTTAGATTCCGAATGCTTTCAGGTTTCCAACCATGATTAAAACCTAAAAAAACAGCTTTGATTTTAAACTATATTTTTTGAGGTTCTACTTGTACTTGATACTTATTAGATTCTTGTTCCACTTCCATAAGTTGAAGCCTTTCCTATGATCTTGCTACAAACAATTGTGCCAAATGTATGGACAATAATTAATTGAATGTTAAAGCAATCGATGATTAGCGTAAATGAAAGCTAAATGTGAAATATAATAGACTTAATAGTGTTTCATGTTTTACAGTGTTTGTATCTTGTAAAATTATCATTAACTCGTTACGAAAGAAGAATATCATAAAACACTTTTTCTCTCCATGCCCCGAAAGTAGTTTGAGCTGCCATTCCCGGCTTCAGTTAAGCCAAAAGCACTTACTTTAACTTTGTCACATATCCTGGAAACATTGACACAAATAGAAAGGTCTTTATGCTGTTAATTAAACTAGTTTAGCCTTAAACCAAGTGTACATCATGATACCCATTTTCCATCTTGAAAGCACCCTTCTAATTGTTTTATATTTGGCTCATGCTTCTAATCATCCCCTATTCCTGCTTTCCAAAAACTTAAGCTGCTCAGCATATGTCAGCACGGCTGCTGCCTTGTGGCCTCAACTTCTTTCGTCTCTCTATTTTTACAGGTCTTGAAGTCATATTATATTACTATAAATTAGTAGTGATTACTTTGGTTACTCTCTACAAATTAGGAGAGACCGTCAAATCTTAGTCGAACCAAAAACTTTGTTTAAGCTGCTGCTTTCATGGTTTCAAATCTTGGTTCCTCGGCGTGGAACTTGAGGCCATAAGCTGCATTAGTTTATATATATATATATATATATATATATATATATATATATATATATATATAGATATATAGATATATATATAGATATATAGATATATATATACATATACATATATATATATATATGTAGCTGGAATTAATCCAGTTCAAGTAATGAAATTAGTTCTCTCTCTTCGAAAGGAAAGTGCAGATCAACCACGGTGATTTCTTCATCGGTATCAACTTAGAGGGCAACTCAGTGGAGTCATAACATATATATTATAGACATGTTGGACTACATATCGTCATTATCCAAACAGGGCATTGGTTTATATTTTAACGTACTCTTGGTGATAATTTTCTTGTTTCAAAAGAAACTTCTCATTATGTTGAGTTTTTTATTTTTATATTTATATGGTGTTAAAGATAGACGAAAAGCATGCTATTTTAAACGGGAATGAAATGTGTGAAGAAATGTCTGGAAAAAAAATATTGTGGATGCAAATTTATTTCTCCTTGATCTTGGACAAAATTGCACCTACAAAACAATTAACACCTTATGGTCAAGGCCAAGAGCCTCACGCGCCCACGATGAATGGGGAGGGATTTGGCCGAAGAGCCTCCGATGCTAAAGTTAGAATTTAGAGAGAAAAAGTGTTTAGAGAGTATTGAGAATTTTGCAAGTATGTTGGAATGATCTTTTGGTGAAAATAGGAGACTATTTATAGGGATAGGTCGGTCCTCTTTGGAGGAGTGGCCGGCCATTAGGTAGGGATTTTGGGTTTAATTTTGGTTTAATTAGCCAATTTATTATGATTAATTGGCTAATTAAACTGTTTGGGCCCAAAATAATAGTTTGGGCCGAGGGTAGAATCACTCTCGGCCCGAGAAGCCGTGCGGCGAAAGGGTCATGGAGCGTTCAGCTCATGGGCTTCCAAGCCTAAGTCGGTTAAATCAGAACGCAAGTCGAGTCTTAGTACAATAGGGACTCTCGACGAGATCAATAATCTAGAAAGCGAATCCGGCTCAGTTAAGGACTAGATTCGTAGTCCTAGCGGAGATAGGACTGATCGAGGGGATGTTAATCCGGAGAAGGAAACCTAGTCCGAATAGGATTGGAACTCGGGCTCGATGTTCTGCTACTATAAATACAAGACATTCAGCAACAGAGAAGGGCTCCAATTCAACACACAAAATTGCCCTGCGCAAATTCTCACAACTTGTGATTTTTCTTTTTCCTTTTTCGCTGACACATCTTCCGTTGGCATCAACAGCACTGTGGAAGCAACCGGTGATATCTTAAGTCGGCATAGATAGCTCTGTCACTGTAGAGTCAGTCGGTCTCGCAGTATCTTCCGTTGGCATCAACAGCACTGCGGCGAGAACGATTGATTACCTATCCAAGTCTCGGTCGAGAAGGGTTTCTAAATCCTTATTGGTCGAGGTCATCTCATCAGCCTTTTCGGCGAAGTGAGGTGTTACAGTTATTACATTCGGCACATTGAAAGCCGAATTTGATATTGAACTTCGTAAGAATAGTAACCTTGTCTTCAGGTTCGAGAGCCCAAGAGGCCGAGACGTGTTCCTTTCTCGGCCGCAATCGCAAGACGCAGAAGTCAGTAGCGCGACCCAACGCAACATCAACAAATTTACTCCTCGGCCGAGCTCGGCCGACGAGTTGGCACGCCCCGCATTCACCGAAGGACGTAGTTAGCTCATTAATTACTCGGCCTGCGCGCCACGTAGGCTTTGTAGTTTCTAGGGTCAACATAAACATAAAGGGAATGTTTTGGTGGTTATGAAATTAATTGGCTAGCTAATTAATGTAATTAAAAGGGAGAAATGATAAAAAATGGTAGAAAGTATGGTGGACTTCTTTTTGAATGGGGATGGCCTGCCTTTAACTTGTTTTTGGGGTTGAATGGGTGTTTTAATTGACAATTAGGGGATTGATTAGGTAATTAATCCCTTAATTAGTCAATTATTATGATTTTAAAGGAAGATTTTAGGAAATATGAAAGGAATATATTATTTAGCTAATTGATTAGCTAAATAATGAAATAGAAAATATATGAAATAAATTAGGTTTTGGGATTTACCTTGTAAAAGGGTTTTGATAAGACGGATTTTGAATTGTTACCTTTTTTCGAGCATTTTTTACTTGGTTGAAAGATGTCCGCCCGCTACTCGCGCGTAAGAATTCCGTTGTTCCTCAAGGGTATTTTTGTCTTCTTATCCAAAAATCCACGTGTTACCTTGTGATTATTTTTGGCTCCACAAATGCCCCCACACATGTTGGGCTGCTCGCAAAAAAAAGGGTAATAGGTGTAGAGATTTTCTTGTCTTGGGAAACTTTGAATTGTTTCCTATTTTGACGGTGATTCTCTATTTTAATAGGAAATTAGATCATTCTAGGAAAATGAAATAAATTCCTCTCAAAGCTTATTTAAGTCCACCTTAAGCGGATTATTAAATCAACTTTTAGAGAGAAACTTATTCTACCCTATAAGAGAGAGAGCTTAGAGGATATTTATTTCCCTTCCTCTAGCAATTTTCTATATCTTGCCCGTGCAAAAGATCGTTTTTCGTTGCTTGCTTCGTCTTCTCGTTGCTTCTAGGTAAGAAAAATTTAATTTTCTTGTCTTCTTGATTTTTTTTGGAAGCCTCGAGGCTTGAGAATGGCTCGACGGGGTGTCGAAGTCGCTTGGAGAGCTTATAACAGAGGCTGCCGTGGGTGCCCTGTTGATCAAATCTGGGGAATAGACCAAGCCGTGAGGCTTGGCAATTTTGCTAGGCCGTGAGGCTGGGCATGGGCCCGTGTTTGGTGCAGGGAGAAAAAGGAAAAAAAGCCTATGTTTTGGTCAATTTGGGCCGAGAGCTTCTTTCACCTTTTTTTTTTTGGGCCCGTGCCCTAGGAAAGAACTGAAGGGCTTTATGCCCTTTTGGGTTTTGCGGCTAGGCTTTTAAGCCTTTTTTTTTTTTTTTGTAGAATTTTCAAGCATGTCTTCCTCGAGCCACAAAAATGATGATGGTGTGCCACAGTTGTACCGTCAAGGCGGGTCTTTGAGCAAGGTTGGCTACTTTAAAGCTGCTCACTTCAAGATTAACTCCGATGATTTGTTTAGAGATTTTCTTGAGGCGTACTGGCATGTCATTCCGTCGGGAGTGCGTGTGAAGCAAGTTAAGGATGGTAGCAGCCAGGAACCATGCAGTGGAACTCGGAGAGCCATCAAGTTCCACCCTTACTATTTTGTGTTAGGGTTTACTTTCCCTATGCAGCGTTTTTTCCAAGAAATGATTTGCTTCATGAGATGTGCCATCGCCCAATGTTCCCCGAACGCGGTCCGTGTGATGGTGGGATTCCACAATCTAAGCCAATTCTTTGACTTAGATCTAACTGTCAACGAATTTTGGTACTTCTTCGACATAGGTCACATTGACGGAGTTGGGCAATTGCGATCTCGCCATAAGTTTTTTGATAACTTGAGCAAGGGAGATCATGATTGGGCTAAAGAGACTTTGGAGATAAGTGGAGAATGGGAGTCTGATTCTTCCCCCGAGCTGCGTGTACCAACAGTCTTCATATCTGGTAAGCAGGCTGCTTAATCTTCTCGGCTGCTTTGCTTTAGTGCCAAGTTACTCTTCAATTTTCTGATTGTCTTCCGTTGTTTTTTGTAGATTCGGAATTCGGATCAACTCCTAAGGTTTCTCCAGACATGAAGAAAGTACATGTCGCTCTGGGTATCCCTTTCAAATATCATGAGTGGAGTTGGCTACTTAGTCATCTTCGTAAGGAAAAAAGTGGGATGCCCCCAAAAGAGGATATAAAACGGATCAAGGCAGATGCGATGGCTCGTCCTATCACTATGATGAAGCCTGCTATCAATGAAGGTGGGAAAAAGAAACATTCCCCGCCTGCTCAAGAGATGCCTGCTGAAGGGAAACCGAAGACTGCTCGCAGGGATTCTCCGACTGCTCAAGAAATACCTGTTCAGAAAAAATCGAAGATTGCTTCCGCTGCTCGTGAGGGTTCATCAACTATTCCTAAGTTTGTAATTGACTTGACTTCCTCTAAGGGCGAGAAAGAAAGAACTGCTAGATTTGTGCCAGTAACGCCTATTGCTCCAAAGGCTGCTAGCTCGATTGCTGAAAGGATTGCCCAGTGCAAAAGTTCCTCCATGCCTCCGGTGCTGAAGTTTGTTCCAAAGTGTTCGTCTGGAGCTAAGTCTACCTCACATTTAGAGAGGCTTGCTACTATGAAAAGTGACAAGGTGCCCCTGCCTGCTAAAGTGGCGCCAAAACTTGCTTTCTCCACTGCTGCAACCAATTCGTCTACTGATAAGAAGGAAACTGAGAATCCTTTGGAAGCAATCTTCGGTTTTTTCTCAACAGGTATTTCTTGAGCAGCTGGAGAATCTCTGCGAGCAGTCTTCGGTTTCCTTTCAACAGGCATCTCTTGAGCAGGCGGGGAATGTTTCTTTTTCCCACCTTCATTGATAGTGGGCTCCATCATTATGATATGACAAGCCATCGCATCAACCTTGATCCTTTTTATCTCCTCTTTTGGTGGCAGCCCACTTTTTCTATACGAATAGGACTAAGCAGCCAACGCCACTCACGATATTCGGAAGGGATACCCAGAACGACATGTACTTTCTTCATGTCTGGAAAAACCTTAGGTGTTGATCCGAATTTCGAATCTACAAAAAACAATGGGAGACAATCAGAAAATTGAAGAGTAACTTGGCACTAAAGCAAAGCAGCCGAGAAGATTAAGCAGCCTACTTACCAGATATGAAGACCGTTGGTACACGCAGCTCGGGGGAAGAATCAGACTCTCATTCTCCACTTATCTCCAAAGTTTCTTTAGCCAGTCATGTTCTCCCTTGCTCGAGTTATCAAAAAGCTTATGGCGAGATCGCAGTTGCCAAACTCCGTCAATGTGACTTATGTCGAAGAAGTACCAAAATTCGTTGACGGTTAGATTTAAGTCAAAGAATTGGCTTAGATTGTGGAATCCCACCATCATATGGACTGCGTTCGAGGAACATTGGGCGAGGGCACATCTCATGGAGCAAAGCACTTCTTGGAAAAAATACGGCATTGGGAAAGTAAACCCTAACACAAAATAGTAAGAGTGGAACTTGATGGCTCTTCGAGTTCCACTGCATGGTTCCCGGCTGCTACCATCCTTAACTTGCTTCATACGTACTCCCGATGGAATGGCATGCCAGTACGCCTCAAGAAAATCTCTAAACAAATCATCGGAGCTAATCTTGAAGTGAGCAGCTTTGAAGTTGCCAACCTTGCTCAAAGACCCACCTTGATGGTACAACGGCGACACATCATCATCATTTTTATGGCTCGAGGAAGACATGCATGGAAATTCTACAAAAAAAAAAAAACACAAGTGGGATTTGTTAGAGAGTTGTTTTCAACAAAAAAAAAAGCAGCATATCCGAGTATAGGAAGACATGGATATATGTGCCAAGTTTGTTGATGCCGTCGATTGTTGGTCTAAGTCTTTTCGCGAAGCATACATCCGAGTATAGGAAAACTGCTCTGCTAGCCATGATGTAGAAAACAACAATTCTGGTAACCGAGTCTATGTTCCTCGAGCAAAAAGATACCAAGGCTGCTAAAGAGATGGTAAGAACCATGGCTACCGAAGTTTACTCATCGGTAAAAAAAAATCAGGAAATTGGAATCTGAGCATGCTACTTTGAAGGGATCTAACATTTCTGCCCCCACTTCTCTGCAGCTTGAGGCGACTTACCAAGAGATCATGGTTTTGAAGACTAGGCTTGATGCGATCCAAGTAAAGTACGAAAGTGCAGAGAAGGAAATCGAGGGTTACATACCTCAAATTCAAGATCTTGAGCGTTCCATTACTGAATTCCGCTCCGCTGCTTATGCAAAGGATGAAGAATTGATCGCTGCTTACAACCAAGTGATCCATTTCAAAAAGGTTGTCGATAGGCTTGAGCCTCAAGTGTTAGAACTTCAAAGTGCTTTGAAGATCAACGACAATCTGAAGAAAGAAATTGAGGAGCTGCAAGGGTTCGTGTTTACCTGCTTGAGGAGAATGAGCAGTTGAAGGGTGAGAATGTTGGGTTCAAGGCTTTACTTAGTTATAGTCAAGCTGATTTCTACAAGCTGGGTTATATAGATCATTTTTATGGGCGACCGTCTGACTTTGAGTTTTCCAGTAAAAACTTCGATACCTTCTCTATTTCTCAAGAAGACTTGCTCTCTTTTACTTTTGAGTCTTCTATCGGTGAAGTAGTTGGAAAAGTTGGTGCCCAGGCTAGGGCAGCAGATGGTAAAGTGCCGGAGAATGTCGTTGCTGAAAACATCAAGGCTGCTGAAGATGTGGTAACCGAGTAATCGTGTGATGTCCAAACTATTTGAAGAGTAGTCTTCTAGGTAGCCTTTAGGATTTTCTTTGTTTTCCTTTGTTGCTTTTGCTTGAACTCATTCGATGTTTGCTAGTTGTTTATCAATTTTGCTAGAAAATTTAATAAACTTGCTTCCTTTGCTTTTCTCCATCTTCGCTTCTCTTTGTTCATGCCCTAACCTTTAGACCTTATAGACCAGTGGCAAGCGTGCTACTTTTCTATAAGCAGATAGGTCTGCATAGCCTACTCAGCCGTAGGTGTTGGTGTATAACTCTTGCAGAGTTGTTAGCCATAGGGTTGGCAGCCGGATGCCTTACTTACATAAGCAGACGAATCCGCGTAACTACTAGTTTGTTAACCTTGGCTCTTTCCAATTTCGTAGGTTGTGTAACAAGTATCACAACACTTTAGGACTTGGTGTAAGTTGTTCTGTGCTTAGCAGTGTTGGAAGTATGCCCACAAAGCCACTCATTTGATGTAATAGCTTTTGGAATACTTATTGTATTAAACTTTTATATGTTTAATGAAGGGCAAAGCTTATTGTTAATCACTATTTATTGTATCATGTGTTTAAGCAATAAGGGAATCCAAGGGATGTATTTGATCTAAGAGACAAGTGATCTAAGTGAGTTAGATTATCGAGACCATTCTCTTATGTTCATTCCTAAAACGTTCCTAGCCATAGGATTGCCAATTGGGCATTGACAATCTGCTAAGGTTAGTATGTGTTATGTTGACTCAAACGTGAGTATGAACTAGTCTCAAGTCATTTGGTGTTGGACACTAAGACAAACACATAGGTGCTCGAAAAAGGTAATCGAGTACACTGAACGACGATCAAAAGAGAGTTCGAACATACATGTCATGTATGAACTCTAAAGTTACAATATGCAAAGTAGTCCTTTGACCTGAGGCATCATAGATGTCTAATGGTTAGGTCCTTGATCTTTGATCATGTCAATGGCATTCCTTTGGATTGTCCACGGCATTGTTGGGGTCAAGCTATCTAGTCATGTAGGCATATGAATGCACAACAAGGGATCTCTAACCTTCCATGGTGGAGGGAGAATACTCTAAGATATGATTCTAAAGTCTTTGGCCAAAGCAAATGAATATGACTTAGGAAGTTTGTTCCAAATCATATTCAAATGAATCATATAGGAAAGTATCACATTGGATAGTAGACATGAAACAAACTATCACTTAAACAATGTGATTAAGAGTATTGTATTAGAGAAGGACCGTATTGCATTGTAGTTGTAACTGGATAGGTTCTCCAATCAATTCTACTTAGCTTGGGTAACCATGATATGCTGCTAGGTGTCACTCATGGTTTGTGGAAGCCCTGAAGATTAGCAAACACTAATCTTAAGGGAGAATTGAAATGTGGTTTCAATTCACAATCGATCGTTAAGAGTAACATCGCCCACTGCCTCGCTAATTGGAACCTAATGGATCGCACACCACATAAGGATGTTAGTGAAGAAATTATATGAAATGGATAAGCAATTAAATGGTTTAATTGAAGAATGGTCAAAGTTAATTAATTAGTTAATTAATTATACGAAAGGTTCGTATTGGGCTTTTAAGTTAGTTTGGGCTTCGGGGTCCAAAATTGTTTTGGTCCACTAGGCCCATTATGTCTAAGTTGTATGACAACTAAAACAAATATGGGCATTTAGCCCAATAACAAAAGGAGGCCGGCCATAGCAAGGGTAGTGGGAAATTTTGCTTAATTGCAAGTTTGCCACTAACCTAAGAGATGAAGTATAAAGTCATCTTTATAGCTTTGTTTCTCATTAGGGTTTTCTAATAGAAATTGGGTGAAACATTTTTCTCTCATTTTCTACATAGAGGCCGGCCACTTAGAGGATTTTTACTAGCATCTAAAATCTCTCTAAGTCATCCATATCATCTTCACAAGATACAACCTTGGTGAAGAGACTTAGAGACATCAAGCTTTTGGTGTTTTGGAGAACAAATCCTTTTTCCTCAAATCATCAAAGGAGCACTAAAGGGAGGAAAACACAAGGAGGATTCAAGGAGCTTGGAGGTGACTTGAAGGCCCTCCACTTGGGTGAATCCCTTGTGTAAACAAGGATGAGCTTCAAGGGTAAAGAAATTCTAAATCTTTACTTCTCTTTAATGTTGTTAAAGAGTTTATTTTGGTTCACCATATACTAGGCTTTGAAAGTCATGGGTTTTATGAATTGTTTTTGGATGCATGTCTACTTTAAAGTGTTAATAGCTTGCATATGTATTCAAATGTTCATACTTGTTCTTAGCTAGGACAAAATTTTTCCTTCAGGCAGAGGTGAAGCTTATCGACTACGTAACATGTCGGCAATGGATAAAGTTTCGTATATGCATGCTAGCTTGTTTAACCTTTCACAAGAATGTGAGATTGTATAAGCCTAGCGTGGTTTTACTGCTTGAAGGGCAAGCCGTAGGCAGTCTTCTAAAAATCCGTAGGCTGCCTTAGTGCAATTCGTAGCAGTTTTAGGTTTCCAAAGCAGCCACCCATAGGGTGTACTACGTAATGTGCCCTTTATGTCTCTAGGGCCCAGTTCCCTGCGAATTAGGCCAAGAGACCCAAAATCCTTCAACTAGCTAAGCCTTGAAAAAGACCATTGTGGCTACTTCTAAGAATACCAGCGCAAGCCATCGTGCATCTAGTTATACTAGGGCAGCCAGGCTCATCCACGTCTGGATATTCAGAGTGTTGAGTTTATCCTCCCACTTTGGAGAGCATGGTTGGTCCTTCAGAGGGTGCAATTCCTGCAATGGTCCTTCTGCCAGATCCAAGTTTGTGGCCATCTCTTTACTGTTTTGCTCAATGCTTGGCAATAGAGTGTTGATGTTGGGCACGATGATGTTGGGAAAAATGATTTCTTCCGAACCAAATGCCAAAAAGAAAGGAGTCTCACCAGTCGCTCATTTGTTGGTGGTGCAATATGCCCATAAACATTTGAGGAGCTTATCTGGTCATTTTCCCTTTTTGTCAGTGATGGATTTCTTGAGGCAGTCGAGGATCGTCTTGTTGATGTTTTGGCCTACCCATTGCCTTGAGGATATCTTGGTGTGGATATGTGTTGTTTGATGCCGTACTTTTGGAAGAACTTTGCCAAATCTTTTCCCACAAATTGCGGGCCGTTGTCGGTGACAATGGACTGAGAGATGCCAAATCAGCAAATGATGTTCCTCCATATGAAGAGCTCTATGTCCGTCTGAGTCGTGGTCGTCATGGGTTCTGTGTCTATCCATTTGGTGAAGTAGTCGGTTGCCACGATCATCATGCATTTGCCCCCAATAGCAGGCGGCATAGGCCCTACCAAGTCAATTGCCCATTGCATGAATGGCCAAAAACTCATCTGCGGGTGTAGCTTGCTGGCAGGCAGTGCTGGTACCAGTTTGTAACGTTGGCAGCGATTGCACTTTTGTACTAACTCCATAGCATCTTGGTGCATGGTAGGCCAGTAGTAGATTGCGTTAAGAGCCTTATGTGCTAAGGATCAGTCTCCGGAGTGATTCCCACAAACGCCTTCATGGATTGAGCTTAGAACCTTCAAGTCATTAGGAGGTGCTAGGCAGCGGAGATGCGGTTCGATGTAAGATCTTCGGACGAGAATGCCATTCCATATATAGTAGCGCGCCGCCTTGATTTAGAGCTTTCTTGACTTCAATCTTTCTATGGGTAGTGTGTCGCTGACCAAGTAGTTTATAATATAACTTTGTCAGTTGGGAGTTACACTAACCTGTGACACTTCGGCTGTCGACTCCATCTCTATGCTTGCTTGTCTAGATATTCCACCGGAATGAAACGTTTAAATTGGTGGTCAAATGCGGAGCCTAAACCAGCTAGCGCATCTGTATGGGCGTTGTCTGCCCGCAGAACTTGAGTGAGAGTGTAAGTCTGAAATGCCTCAAGCTGCTGGCATCTTTTCTCTAGGTATTGTGTCATCCTTGGGTGTTTTGTCATGTATTCCCCAGTAGCCTGGCTAGTGATTAGTTGGGAATTAGAATGAATTGCGAGCTTCTTAACCACCAAGTCTTTTGCCATTCGGAGGCCTGCTGGTAAGGTATCGTACTCTGCTTCGTTATTGGATGATTTGAAGCCTAAAGTGATCACCTGCTCGAGCATTGAGCCATCTGGAGTAACAAGGACCATGCCTGCTCCTGAACCTTTGTTGTTGGATGCGCCGTCAACATGCAAATGCCAGAAATCTTCGCTTGAGGTGTAAGCATGGCTAAGGTGTGTTTGGCTTCTGAAGTATTGCTAGGCTGCTCTGTTGCATCACCTAGGCTAGGTGCAAATTCTGTTATGAAATCTATTAAGGCTTGGGCCTTTATCGTTGTGCGAGGTCGAAAAACTAAACCATATTGGCCAAGTTTCAATGCCCATTTCATCACTCGTTAAGAAGCGTTCAGACCATGTAAGATTGATCGTAGAGGATACTGAGTCATAACAATGATTGTATGAGCTTGAAAGTATGGTATGAGATTTCGAGCCGCAACAACTAATGCTAAAATTAATTTTTCGATCTTTGGATATCTTGTTTCCGCATCAAGAAGAGCTTTAGAAGTGTAGAATATCGGTAGTTGGGCCCCTATCTCTTCTCGTATAAGGGCAGAGCTCACTGCGACTTCGGAGACTGCTAAGTAAATGTATAAATCCTCCGTTGCTTCCGGCTTGGATAGTAACGGAGGTGATGTGAGATACTTGTTCAAGTCTTGGAAAGCTTTTTTCGCACTCTTCATCCCATTTGTCTCTTTATGCCGTCTTGATAGTTTTGAAAAAAGGCTTGCATCGATCGATGGATCGTGAGAGGAAGCGGTTGAAGGCAGTTGCTCGTCCAGTCAAGTTTTGGATCTCCTTCAAGGTAGTAGGAGACTTCATCTCTATGATTGCTCGGATTTTCTTAGGATATGCTTCAATTCCTCGTTGGATTACTAAGTACCCTAGGAATCGGCCTGAAGATACTCCAAACGTGCATTTGGTAGGGTTGAGTTTCATCTTGTACGTTCTAAGGATATTTAAAGTTTTTGCCAAATTGTGAATGTGATCTGATCGCTGTTTGCCATTTACCATGATATCGTCAACATAGACCTTCATGGTTACCCCAATTTGCTTCTTAAACATCACATTTACTAGTCTTTGGTTAGTGGCTCCTGCGTTCTTGAGGCCAAAGGGCATGACCTTGTAGCAGTAGGTGCCCCACTCTATCACGAACTCGGTTTTCTCCTTGTCGAGCTCTTACATGGCTATTTGGTTATAGCCTTGTAGCTAGAGTATGGGTCTAAGAAACTAAGCAACTGGTTCTTAGAAGTTGAATCTACTAATAGATCGATTCGGGGGACATGATAGGGGTCTTTGGGCATGCTTTGTTGAGGTCGGTGTAGTCTATGCAAACCCTCCATTTTCCTTTCTCTTTCTTCATGACTAGTACGACATTGGCAAGCCATGCCGAGTGTGCTACTTCTTCTATGAATCCGACCTCCAATAGCTTGTCGATTTCCGCCTCAATGATCGCTACTCGTTCGGGTGCGAAATGTCTTCTCTTTTGGATTACCGGTTTGGCTGTAGGGTTGACGTGCAGCTTGTGGCAAGCGACCTTGGGGTAAATGTCGGGTATGTCGAATGGTGACCATGCGAAGACGTCTCGGTTTTCTCTAAAAAAAGTCATGAGTTCTTCCTTTTTGTCTGGGCTTAGTCGTGAGCCAATTTTAGCCGTATTTTCCGGCTGCTGGGGATCAAGAATGATGTATTCGACATCCTCTTCAGGTTTCCATCCTATCTCGTCTACTTGGGCGCCATCTTCTCGATCCATCTGCTGTAATTGCTATTTGGTAGCCTCTTTGTCCTTTTGGACTTCGGTAGCCTTTACGGGGGTAAATGTTTTATTCTTTGATTCTTTTAACATTTGCACAGTGCATCATCGAGATGAAGCCTGGTTAAACTTGATCTCTCCAACTCCTCCTTCCCGGATACGAAATCAGATTTTTTGATACTTGACAGAAGTGACAACATCCAGCTTGATCAACTAAGGTCTCCTAAGAATCCCATTGTAGGGAGATGGATCGCTTACAATCGTGAACGTTTTCTTTGAGACGACAGGCGGTGTTTTCACATCAAGTGTGATGTGGCCGATGATAGTTGAGGTGTATCCGTTGAATTCGGTAAGTACCTTTGCTCGACGTATGATTGTGCTTTCCAGGCCCATCTTCTGAATGACTAAGAGTTGAATTAAGTTAACTGCACTTCCATTGTCAACCATCATCTTGTCGACTATAGCATGGGCTAATTGGACAGATACTACTAGTGCATCGTCATGTGGGAAATCGACGCCTTCTACATCCTGCTCAGTGAAGCCAATAATGGGTCCAGGTTGGGTATCGACTGATTGGACTTGTGAGATTAGTAAAGCCTGTTGAATTTTCCTCTTTTTAGAGTTATTAGTGGCCCTCAAGTGCTCGGATTCGACGAAAATGTCATTGATTCGAATCATCTTGGTTGACGGCTCTTCATCACCATCTGCATTCCTTCTTGGTTGCACAGCTGGCTTGTCCAAGTATCTATCGACTTTGCCTTCTTTCACGAGCTTCTCTAGGTAGTTCTTCCAAGTGTAGCAGTCGTAGGTTGTGTGACCAGGACCTCGGTGGAATGCGCAATACTTGGTGTGGTCCAACTTGGAAGTATCTCCTTTTGATTATTTCGGCAACTTGAACCATGGTTCGTTCTTGATGTCATGAAGGATTTGATGAATTGAAATTGAGAACTTAGAATAATTCTTGGTTATTAGGCCTTCTTTGGTCGTAGGTCGGTCCCTACGCTTGACTTTCTGCCTGCCCTTGTTGGGTTGCTTCCCGTCCTCTTTCCTTTGAACAGCTATCGACTCTTTTCGAGGCTGCTCGGGCGCATTTTCTGCTTGTTGAGCCTCGTCCCAAAGTGCATGCTTCTCTGCCAAGGCAAAGGAATATGCTAGAGTTAGGTCTTCTTTCATGATCATTTCTCTGAACAGTGGGTGGTCTACTGGGAGTCCTTTTTGGAAAGCTGCATTTGTTATCGAGTTATCGCACCAGACGATATTTGCCTTCTCTGCTTTGAATCTCTTCACGTAGTTGCAAAGTGACTCATTTGGGTTTTTCTTTACGTTGAACAAGTGATCAGACTTTTTCTTGATCGAACGATAAGATGAGTATTCTTTGGTGAAAACCAAGGAAAGATCATCAAAATTCTGGATGGATTGCGATGGCAAGGTATGAAACCAATCTTGTGCCTCGCCTTGTAGAGTGATGGCGAATATTTTGCACATAAGGGCGTCATTGTTCCAATAAAGGACCATCGCGCTTCAATAGTGCTTCAAGTGCCTTTCTGGATCTTCATCTCTTTTGAAAGATATGAAGTGCAGCATGCTAAACTTGCTAGAGGCTCTGCCTGTTCGATCTCGTCCATGAAAAATGACCTACTTATGTTGGTCATATCCCACCTTAGTGCTTCATCAGCCATTTCGTTGCGTCGGAAATCATGTATCCATTCATTAAAAAGTCTTTCTACCTCTTCTTAGATTTGCTTTTGTTGGGGTAACGGAGTTCTCGGCTGCCTCTGGTCTTGACCTGTCGGTCTAGGCTGCTCTTCTACACGCTCGGCTCATCTATGTCGTGGTTGCGGTGTATGAGATAGGTTCCTAGCAGGCAAGGGATTTCTTTGCTGGCTACCAGTTGAACTAGAGCCGGATTGAATGACTGCTTCCTTCCGTTCGTCAGGCTGCATGCTTCAATATGATATGGATGATGCTCCTTGCAGGCCTAACCGAGAATGAACGCTTTGCCTAGAAGGCTACTTATGTTGATTATCGAAGCGTGGCCCCAACCATGAAAGTATACTTTCCTGTGGGCTTAGTCGAGAGTGCACGCTCCTCCGCGCATTAAGACGGGGGTATACGGTATCTCAGAGGCCCAATCAAGAGTGTGCACTGCCTGAATGCTTGGTTTGTGGTTAGTTGAGTGGCTGTTTCCTAGGATGCTGCTTGAGAGGTTCCTCGTCTGCCCTTATCCTACTTCGAGACCCCTCATCTAGGGCACGTTGGATCTCGGTAAGTTGCAAAAGTTGATTCACCAAGGTTGTTTGTTGTGCAAAAGCGCTCGTCAACTATACGACTTGTCGAGACAAATGTTGTTCGCCATTTGGATTGGAAGAGCTTGGATGGAAAGTACATCTTTGAGCAATGGAAGGGTAGTAAACTTCGGGTAAGAGATTTGAATTGGGAAATGTCAGATCCGTGGAGAAATACGGTGTAAATGCCATCGGCTCGACAATTGGTTCAGATGGGTGAGATAGTCTCGGGCCGGCTTGGGCTGCTTGGGAAGCCATAAGAGCAGGCTAGGCTGCAGGAGTAGGCTGGATCACAAGAGCAGGCTGGGTCACAGGAACAGGCTGGGCTACGGGATCAAGCTGCTCAATACGTGGTGCATGCGAATGCGAGGCTTGGGCTCGAGCCCGTGCAAGCTTGGATGGCATGGCTTGGGCCATGGTGGAAACTTGTAGTGGTGGTGTCACTCTGCTTACAACCGCATTTTTCCTCGTGGATCTCCGTGATCCCATCTCTTGAGTATTGGAATTTTCACTTATGGAATTTTCTAAATTTCTAGCCATTATATTTTTCTTATACGTTTTATCAAAGAACCTTTGCAAGTAAAAAATTCTAATAATAAGAACGTACGAAAAATATTCAAATGGACTAGAAAATAGAGAAAAACCTTTTTATGCGAGAGTCTTCTATGAGTATGGATTTCACCTCTCAATGAAAGCACCAATTTGTGGATGCAAATTTCTTCCTCCTTGATCTTGGACAAAATTGCACCTACAAAACAATTAACACCTTAGAGTTAAGGCCAAGAGCCTCACACGCCCACAATGAATGGGGGGCTTAGGCCGAAAAACCTCCAATGCCAAAGTTAGAATTTAGGAAGAAAAAGTGTTTAGAGAGTATTGGGAATTTTGCAAGTGTGTTGGAATGATCTTTTGGTGAAAATGGGAGACTATTTATAGGGATAGGCCGGTCCTCTTTGAAGGAGTGGCCGGCCATTAGGTAGGGTTTTTGGGTTTACTTTTGGTTTAATTAGCCAATTTATTATGATTAATTGGCTAATTAAACATAAAGGGAATGTTTTGGTGGTTATGAAATTAATTGGCTAGCTAATTAGTGTAATTAAAAGGGGGAAATGATAAAAAAGGGTAGAAAGTATGGTGGACTTCTTTTTTAATAGGGATGGCTGGCCTTTAACTTGTTTTTGGGGTTGAATGGGTGTTTTAATTGATAATTAGGGGATTGTTAGATAATTAATCCCTTAATTAGTCAATTATTATGATTTTAAAGATTTTAGGAAATATGAAAGGAATATATTATTTAGCTAATTGATTAGCTAAATAATGAAATATAAGATATATGGAATAAATTAGGTTTTGGGATTTACCTTGTAAAAGGTTTGATGAGATGGATTTTGAATTGTTACATTTTTTGGAGCATTTTTGACTCGGTTGAAAGATGTCCACCCACTACTCATGCGTAGGAATCCTGTTATTCCTCAAGGGTATTTTTGTCTTCTTTATCCAAAAATCCACTTGTCGTCTTGTAATTATTTTTGGCTCCACAAATATGTGAAACAGAATGACACTGTTTGAGCATGAACTTTTAGTTCGGCCTGAATTGATTTCAATCCAGAAAGGAGGATGTGAGTCTCGGCCCAGTAATGTATTATTGTTGGATGGCCGAGCCCTTGGCGGAGTAAGATCTTAAAGATCAGGGTTGGTTTCTGATGTGATCGAGTCCTAACTAGAGTAGGATTGCTCGAAGATTAGGATTGATCTAGATCAGGATTGGCCTTCTGGTGAAGTTGAATTAATCATATATAAGTCTAGGTTTAGAATCGTAGTTCGAGTTGAAGAACTGAGGTTGGGTAGTGATGGAGTTTCAATGGGAAAGGATTTGTAAAGATAATACCAAGTGTATTCACATAATATGCTGAGAAGTTGCAATACTATCGGAACTCTACAACTTGACAATCTTGGGCATCAAGCAATTTATTCCTAATAAATACAAGAGGACTGGCAATGTAAAGAGGACCTTCAACTCAACACAAATCAACTGCTCTATGCGAAACTCTTTCACACTCTTTTGTGAAAACTAACTGATTCACTAACCGTCAGCACAAATTCCAACTGAATAGACGAGTTTGGGTTGGCAACCTACAGACGACGACCAACTAGATAGACGGGGTTGTCCAATGCAACCAGTGAAGGTGACTAACTAGATAGACGGAACCGAAGCGTAGGGTAGAAGTTTTGACCGACTGGATAGATGGGTATTCTTATTAAGCATGTGACTGGCTATTTATCTCAAGTCTCTGCAGGGAAAAGTCTTTGATTCCTTACCAAAATAGGTCACTTTATGAGCATTCTTGGCAAAGTGGGGTATTTTATGATTGGTTACTATTATATTAAGAGTTTAACGCACAAACAGCCAAACCATTTTTACAACTAAGACACTCATCTCCTTTGAGTATCTTTGTCCATATAGTTTGATACCGGTTCAACAGACCTATATGTTTACCACTATAATTAAGGATGCTGAACATGATGCAAAAGATTCAGAACTTTGCAGTGAATTGCATAACCTTGTCTTCAAGATTCAGAACTTTGCAGTGAATTGCAGAACTTTACACTAAACTCAAATCTAACTGATTGGTTGTTTAGGAGGATATCATTCTATAGAACACAGTTTCTCTCCATGTATCAAAATGTGTAGTGCAATTCCAGGCTTCAATAAATTCAAAAGCACTTATTTTCCATTGCAATTCTGAATCCCTGATATGATTGGCACTAATGGGAAGGTCTTTACCCTAAATTAGTTGTTCAATCATAAACCAAGTGTAAATCGTGACACTTTTTTTCCAGAATGATATCCACTCTAAAACTTTGTGGCCAGAGGACTGAGAGATTCAAACTGTTTAAGAGAGAGAAAGAGATCGAGCCATTCAAGTTTTTAAATTGTTGTGAAGTGGGTCAATAAGATGTGCTAATAGAAGCCATAGAATTGAAGTTGAGTGGTTCGGATCTCTCACTGTGCGTTTCCGGGACATAGAGATGAAGGAGTGGACCTCAATCCCTTTTTTCCCATCCTGAAAGCTCCTGTATTGTTTTATATTGTAGCTTATGATTTTAAAAATATCTTGCTCTTGCTTTTAATTAGAAAACTTTATAGCTTGAGTTCACCATGTCGGCATGGCTGCTGCCTTATCCCCTCGGCCTCTTTCATCCCTTTTCCCACTGAATTTAGAGTCCTTTTCTACGGTGAAAACATCAACAAGTGATAAATTAACAGATTCTGCTGACTATTTAGTTAAAGCACAGCTGGCTTTGAATGCTACTGCTAATGGATCTGCACATTAGATATACACTCTTAAGTCTTAGCTCCATGCGTTCTCTTTTCAGTATTGTTCTATATAAAGTTTTTTCTTCGTTGTGGTTAACTATAAATTTTAAACGTTGATGGCATGTCTGCATTTATAACTTCGCTATCGTTTATCTCGTTGATACTGCAAACACGTATAATATCAATATGTTGTCGATGCATTATCTACAAATGCAGTTAACTACAACGTAAAATGACTGGTTCTATATAAAATACGATGCAAAACAGATAATATAATGTTTATTTAATTACCAACAAATCTTCAAGTCACTAAAGTAGTGATGACTTTGGTTACATTCTACAACGATTTCCACATTAATAGTAAATAAACTTGTCTCTTTTGACAGAGATCTTGAAGTCTAGTTCAACCAAATATTTTTTTCACACACGCCCGTACTTTAAGCTAAATACCCTTTTTCCAGCAGCTTCTAGTATAAATACTTAATCACTCTCAAGCAGTAGTTTTAACTGGACTCAAACCAAAACTGGCCTTAACTTCCACTGCTTTCATAGCTTCAAATCTGGGTTCCTTGGCC